AAAAAAAACACCTTTGGTCAGTTATAGCATTATATAGTTATAGCTGTGCCAGTTTAATAATGTAGACTTTAAAGAAGACATTATAGAGTCGTCATTCTGCAACAGCAAATATTGTTAAATGTTTAAATGCTAATAAAAGTGCTCACATTTTTTCCATTTGATTAAATGTGACTTACTGAGGCATATAGCATTTATATATAGTATATAGTAGTTTGGTTTTCTCTTCAATTGGTTCCTTGAGATTTCTTAAGAGCATGTTCAATATAAACCACAGTGCACAAAATACAGTAGGTGTCTTTGCAGTTGGAATAAATGCTGTGGGTTTTAATCTCCGAGACTTACACTGAAATCGTTTTAGGGAGCCTTTGTGTCAGTGAATGATTGGCACTACAGAAGTAATGAATTCAGCAACTAATACCCAGTTGGCAATTTCCAAGTCTCAAAATTGAAGCAAAATGTCAGGTAGCTGACAGTTTTGGAGCCAGCTACCTGACATTTTGTTTTAAATTTATGCATATGAAGCTCATACATGTGTAGTCCAAGGCAATTTTTTGAATCACTGCAAGTAAATGCTGACAACCTGCTTCAACCTGCTTCAGTAGCTCAAAAATATTTTGAAAATATTGCTCTACAGAAACTGCAAAATGTTTTTATTTTCATGCTAAAGCTAAATTGGAAAAATGTTATAATTAAAACATTATCACAGTTCAGTTTCTCACACCTTATAATTAATTGCATAATTGCATATCTCACAATTGCATATCTCCCAAAGAGAAAACAATGTGTTCCAGTGATAGTGAGCAGATAATAATAATAATATCTTGTACGTTTGTCATTGTGAGGTTTTATAAGTCATTTTAATTCATTTTAATTTTTTATGTTTTTGTCATCGTATGGGTTTTTTTTGCCATCAGCTTGCTAGGAACTGAAGATGAAAATTAGCCTGTATGTTTAAATCTCCCATATTTACATGATGATAATATGATGATACATGATGATAATATGATGATACATGATGATAATATGCATTGTCCCTTTTAAAATAAACATTGATTTGAACATAAACTCATTCATGCTCACTTTTAGGCTAAGACGTACTTACTTACGGCTTAAACTACTATGAACATGGTTTAAATCTGATTTATTTTATATTCTAGAGATTCAATGAACAATATTTCTACAAAAGGAGCTAATCTAAACTTCTGGGTACCACACGGTCCAGAAATATTAAAATTAACCACAAACTTTTCCTGGGTGCTTAACTAAACTATGGCTAAAGCGCCAACATAAATATAAATGCAATAATTAATAATCTAACTACTTCAAGCCTTCAAGCCTTATATTACCTTCTGCCCAGCAAAGTGCACTTGAACATAGGGGTCCACCAAATCTCGGTTCTCTCCTATGAAGGCCTTTTTCACATTAGCCATGATGCTTGTGTTCATTTTAGGAAGTCCCTCTGCACGGAAGATCTTTACATAAAACCTCGCCCATTGCCTCTCTGCTGGGATGCCCTCTGGCAGCAGGAGATTTCTAGAGGACAGGGTAATAGCAAAACAACATCCAGAGGCAAGCCTGTGGAGTTACTGTCTGCATTTGAGATAATTTCATGTAACAAGCATATGAAATACTTGGGATTAATTCAGAACATGTGTTAGTAAATCTGAGATATTTAACAGATTTTCATGTATGCTGCAGATTTCGCTTGACGACAGTATTCCTAATCAGTGACAGCTTATTACCCCTCTATGTCATCTTCGTCAG